CAGTCCATGGCACCAAGTGCCACCTTTAGTCTTTCTTTAGGCATCTTCAGGGACAGTGACTCTACCAGCTCCCCGGGCAGCCCATTCCAATGTCTAATCACCCCTTCCGTGAAAATATTCCTCCTGATGTGCGACCTAAATCTCCCCTGGCATATTTTAAGAGTGTGTTCCCTGTTCTGTTGCTGGTTGCCTGTGAGCAGAGGCCAACCCCGACCTGGCTGCACCCTCCTTTCAGGTAGGTAAGAGCACGTGAGTACGTAACACCGTGTTTATATTGCATATACATCTACTTGAGTGTACCTTCCTCATCAACCAGCTCACCAGAGATAGCTGTAGTTTGAGCGGTTGGGTGTGCCACACCTTTTTCCTTTCCCCTTGTTATTTCAAACTTTCCCAGGAAGTTACATCAGGACACTTAAAGGGGTCAAGCTGTTCAGAACACTTCAGAACAGATCTGAAGCGCAATTTTGTGTTCTTGACAGGCAACGAGACATTTCTGGGGGTTGTCTCTGTCTCTGGTATGGCAGGAGAACCTCTCAAGCTGTAACATCCATTATGAACAAAACAGACAAGTTCCAGAGAATGGAATTTTTCTGAACTTAACAACAGAAGACAAGCACTTATCTCTTTGCAGAACATCCACAAGGAAGATGTGGCATTCTTAAAATATCTTTATACTCAGTTATGAGTAAGACTATTCATCCTACACCCCAGTTCTGCATACAGGAAGGGACAAGCTCATAGCAGAAGAATTTTTTTTCAGCAGTGGGAACAACTGCATGATGATTATCTTCCGCCCAGTGTGGGATTCCATGAGAGATCACGGATGCTCTGGCAAGCGGTGGGGCATTACTACATGTTTGTGGAAGTCTCTCAGTTTTATTAATTAGACTCCTGACAAAGCAGTAAAACCCTGCAACAGAAAGCCACACTGCTCATTCCTGAATCATATGAAATCATTCACCATTTTATGTACAAGTTTTGAATTACAATCTTCAACTCCTCATCAGAAAAAATGACAAACCAAAAAGCCTAAAAAAGCATTTTTGGAAGAACTGCATAGTATACAGAAGCATACTTCAATTACACAATATCTTACAGAACACAGACTGTAACAAAAAGCAGAGCCTGTTACCTTTTCTGAGAAGGCAGTGCCCAGCCAAAACTAGATGTTTCATCTCCATTATTAGAGGAACAGCTTTAACTGAACAGAACATGAAAAAAGTTCTTGAACAGTCCAAATAGCTTAACAGAAAAATAAAAGTACATTTGTAAACAACTTTATGAAAACAGTAAAGGTCACTGAAAGTCAAGCTGTTAAACTCTTCTTAGCCCAAACTGCTGTATTTTACCCTTATAGAATTTTTTTTATGAAAAACTATTTTTTTCACATGGAAAACCTCAGTGAGAAATCTGGGCAAGTGTTTTTTAAATTTTTGGTAAAATTAAGAAAAGGACAATTTGAAGGCAGAAAGTGAAACTCCAAATTTCCTTTGAAAATTAAGAGTGATAAAACCAAACTGTTGACTGAAGCCAACAGTGCATGGTAGCACAGCACTTATTTTTTAATCTGAAACCCTTTTTAATGTAAACTCTGAAAAATCATAAGCAACTGCTAGAAATTACTTTTGTATTATGTACCATTAATTTATCACTGCATTCACCTTCATTATTCAAACCTTGCCATAAAGTGACTTTTCACATACAACACTGATTTACTTTAAGCCTATCTCTTTTACTACACAGCAAAATGTAAAAACTGCCCTGGGAAATATGTAACTATCAGTGCCTCTGAAGTTGAGAATCAATATTTATGCTGCTCTACTTAATGCTTCAGCATATGTTAAGTAAGCTGCTGATCACTGAGTGTCTCCATTTTGGTAGATAGACAGATGTATGTGAACAGCAATGCTTTGGATAACTTGTGCTATTCCTAATACTAGAGTTATTTTCTCCCCCAATTACATTTTGCTATAAATATGTGTGCCCTTAAGTTGATCCTAATATCAGTTTCAGCTAACTAATCAAATTATCTGTTAAGGTTTTGGGAATGAGAACCCTTCCTTTATTTAAATAAAATGAGGGAAAGGTTTCTAACTCCCAAAGGTTTGCCAACATTAGATTTATTTTCAAGACAGGATGTTCAGTAAGTTGTTCGTCCTCTTTGCTGTTCACAGATAAGCACAACAGTATTAATGGTTTTTATCAAGTAGGCATGAAGAGAAAGAAAATAGTGTGAGGTTTTCCCCTTAAGGTTTTTCCACGTTCTGCTCATGGGTATGAGTAACTATTCATTTGAAATAAGCGTATTTCAAATTTCAAATTATTTCTTTTATAGGGCTCAGCAGCTAAACTTCAATTTTCTATTTTACTTTTGCAAATAAGTGTTATTAAAACCCTGCCTGTAACTGAGAACATCAAAAACTTATGTATGTATGTAAGGAGTAATTTATCATTGTATATAGAAGTGCTTCTTTTTTGTACCAGTTAAAAATTAATTCATAATCCAAATAATCAATCTGCAATGTAAATGAGTAATTATTTTCTCCTATGTAATAATGGTAAATAACAACACTGAGCATTACATAGTCCACTCAAGTTCATTAAATGCAATTCTTCAGTCACAAAAGGCAGCAGGCATTCTGTGATGAACTTCCTTTGAGATATGTTCAAATGACTGGAATAACTGAGATTCCTGATGAAGATCTAAGCTATTTCCCTCATTTTCTTAATAGTTCCCACTATTTGCATACTCAACTCCATTTTATAATTTGCTATTTAAAATAAAGTTATCTCCCCAAACTCTTCTCTCTCTATCTAAAACAAACTTATTTACATTTATGGTAAATGCTTTTCACCAAATAAGTTTTAAGAAAAAAAACTCCTGAAGCATAATCAATAAGGGAGCAAAAACAAAGGGAGAAAGTATTTCAAGTTCTGCATTAATTTTCTTTCTGAATTTCCTTTCAAAGATTCTACAGGGACAAAAGCTGTAAAGATTTAAAATACGCTTTTACATATTTCTGATTCTATCTCTTTTATACAAGGGACCAACCCTATCCAATGATCACCTTCCTAAATTTTGACCTGTATTTAAATGAAACTGCATGTCATTCACCCCAAGAAAGTAAACAAAATACAGCCTTTTACTTCAAATATTTTATGAATGCAAGATTACAAGAAATATATTAGTCAAAAATGCAGGGCTATCAAGCACTGAACCAAGAATGCTGGCATCAGTTTGCCTATCATTTTGCATGTGGAAAAAATACACTATGTCTACAGGTAAAAGGCATCACTAATGCATCATGAATTACTCTGGTCAGCCAACATCACCTCTGCAGCTTGGTGCATGTTTCAGTTTATTATGAAAATAATCATCATAATCATAGTTTGAGATGAGACACTGGAACAAAACCATTCTTAAACAGGAAAGTTTTGTTTTTTTTCTCTTACTGAGGTAACACCAAAAACTAAAAATAAGTTCTCACAATTTAGCAGCCTCCTCAACACTTGTTAGGCTAGCCTTCACACTAGGAGCATGCAAACAGCCACTCTTCTCGCTTTAAACTGAGGGCTATTGGTTAATTCAAGTCACTGTTTTTTCACCCTATTCAATTAACCTGTTGAACTGGATTTCACCTAGGAAAAAGAAAATTAAATGATGTTAAGTGTAGCAGACAAGTACAGATCACACCAAGAAGCTAACACTCATGAGCTGTCATAATAAGGGATAATAATAACAATAAAAAAGTCAGTCTTTTCTGTGCATATTTTTCGCTTGAAAGGTCCCAGGAAATCATGATGTGCCTGGCCGCTTCTGTTGCTGATTTCTGATGACCTCTAATTGTTTTTTGCATTGCTGATAGTATGTTGAGAGACTTTTGTTTTCATCTAACAGCTTTTTATGTTCTTGTACAAGACGTGATGTGTTTTGCTGGTCTTTTTCATCCTGGTCCAGTTCTGCTATTAGTTCTTGTCTGAAATAAAAAAAAAGTCATTGCCATTTATATTCTATTTCCATTTGTGCGCAGATGACTTCATATGTTTCAAGTCAGTATTTGATTATCAGTCTGAACTCACAGCTGGTGATATTTTGTGCAAAAGAAGTTGACAAAAGAATGTTATTCTTTAATGTAGTCTGGGGAAAAAATCCCTTCCAAATGAAGTCCACATTTAAACTTGAAAATAGCTGAGAGACTGAACCTCAGACTCTAAAACTGTCCTTTAGATAATGTCTTTCAGATGTAGTTTATGGTCACAGGTAACAGGTCACAGTGAAATACCTAAGGAGCCACACAAAATCTCAAATATATTCAAAACCAATTTTAGGTATCTATATGTACATTTTAAATCTCTAAAAGGCAACTTAAAATACAAAAATGCAGTATTTTTTCTAACTTTTTAGTTATTATTTTAGTTTATTTTCTATCTGGACTTGAACTTATTAAAGCAGTAGAAAAGTAGAATCAAGGAAATTACTCCTGTAACTGGCATTTCATATTATTTATGCTGTAAGTGTTCAACATGATTTTTTAGCAAAGATTTTAGAAGCCCAAACATACTGATAATACTGCTATAATATTCTGCAAAACTGACGTGGCAGTTTGTTTTACTATTTTGTTATGAGGTGACGAGAAGGCAAGCTGCCAGCAATACTTTTGCAAAAAAATAGCAAAGGAGAAAGTTCATGTTGATTAATTGTTGCCATATGTTTTTAATTACAGTTAAAGAAAATTTAGAACTAATAACTACTTTAACCAACATTAAATTCACCCATCACAACATCTTTTTTTGTTTTAAATGCCTATAGACAATTACATTCTGACTAAGAAAAAAACAGTTTGGAAGAAATGTGAACACAAACTTCCTAGGGAAAAAAACCCAGTAGGAATCTAAAAGTAGAGAATTAACCATTTTGAAACAAATAAATATTAAATAATTTATTGACCACTGGGGACAACATAAATAGAGTCAAAACTAAGATATTAGCTCTAGCATCATTATCTCCTCATCAAATCTAAGAATTCTAGTTACATGTGAAAAAACCCAAATTGTTCACAGAATACTAAGCCCAAAGCGAATAGGGTTCAATCTTACAGTAACATTTTCTCCCCGCTCTGTATGCTATTTCCACTGTACAAAAGGTTTACACACACATTTTTCTCATTAGCTAATCCACAAACACCAAGGCAAGCTCCCTGTTAACAGCTGCTTGCCTGCAGTGGCTCAGACACTGGTGGGTCACAAGCTGATTATTTGGTCTAGTGTGTGACTATGACCTCTCTGAACTGGTCCTCAGCATCAGGAAACGGAACACAACAGAATGTGTTATGAAGTCAAATTCTGAATCAGCAATAATTTTTGACCTAATACAACAATATGTGCAGCTGCTTTACTTAAATGTGTAAACAATGCAAGAGGAAGGAGTTTTTTTCCAGTGCACAAGGAGAAGGTACGTAACAGCTTTTAAGTATCAGGTCTTAAACCCCTGGCAGAAAAATATAAGATGAATATCAATTATATTGTTGTAAATGCAGTGCTCGACAAAAGTCAGATACACATTTAAAACTAACTGCAAAATGAGTAACATTGACATATTACTCAAAATTCTATAATCTGTTAATTAAACAATTATCTATAAATTACAACTGAAAATATTTTAATGGACAGTGTAGCAAATTAAATTCCAAGGTTCTTTAACAGTTCCGGTGTTTCATTTGAGATGATCCAAACAAACATTACCAGTTTGTTACATACAGAGATTTGCCATGACCTTATGTAGGACTTGTCCAGAAGAAGAGTATTGATATTGATTAGAACTTTCAATTACCTGCTCTAAATATTTCATCTGTACTGAGCAGCTGTACTGTACTCTGTTTCTGAGTTTAAGGTTGGAAAACAATTATACCATATGAAATTTTACTCAATAAAGCCAGAACTAATAGTCACAGTGACTATTATTTACTTTTCATTATTTATTATTATACACAGACTTTGTGTATAGGAAAGAGAAGAAGAGAAAAGGTCAAACCCATTTCACTTACTTCCTCTGCAACAGCAATGCGATTTCTGTCTGAACTTTCATATATTCTTGTGCCATTTTGCAGTGCTGTTCAAACACAGCCATGGATTCTTTGGAGTTTGGGCATGGTGCTAGAGGCTGAAAATAAATCAGACATGTTAAAGACTAATGAACTGATATCTTAGTAAATAGTGTGTTAGAATGTCTCTGCAGTGTATTAATAACAGTCTTTTAAAAACCAGTAAGCCTTTAAAAATAAGTGTTAAACCATGTCCTGGAAAATATTACTGCACCGATGTCAAAGTTTACTCAAATCTGAAGTTTTCAATCTGACACTCGTCATAAAAATCAAAGCAATGTTTAACTCCACACACAGAAATTAAAGTGTATACAACAATTTGATGCAGTAACACTCAAGTAAATAATGTTTGACAGTTAAACTCAGCTTACATTTGGTTTTAAAGATCATGTTTCCCAGAGCTTGTTTTTAATAGCTTGATCAAACCTGAGTCAACCAATCTCAGATTACATAATATATTTTTTTAGCCGTGGTCAAAAATTAGACAGAACATAAACCCAGGTAAATATGCGGCACTATATTTTGCAGCCCCAAAGTCACATGTTAGAATGAAATGCAAACTTGAGAATCTAATAAACTGTATGTTTATTACCTGTAACTGATGGTCTAATGTGAGATATGCCATTGGGATGGAGTTATCTGACCCATTGGTCTCTGTAACAATACCAAGAAAACTTCAATGTATTTAAAAAGAGTTAATTCTATTCTTACAGGACAAAAAACAAGAAGTCTAAGTAATTTCACAATACACAATCTCAATGTGGATAAGCAGATGGAAATAGCAGCGTTCCAATCCCAAGGCAGATGAATCATTTTGTTTTTCTGATAGTTAAGAACATCAAAGTATGGTCTATCACATCAAGAAAAAAATAAAAAAAATATGGTTATCAACCTACATTTCTAGAAGCCATGTATAAGCACACAGATTTTAAAAATACTGTTTTCGTACAATTTGTGATAATTTCTGTTTATTAAAAAAATTGCCATTTCATTCTTGTTTATGAAGGATCAGCCAGCCAGCCCATGCATCTAATGACTTTAAAATTAGAAGCTGTGCAAATCAGCTCTGCCAAAATAAAATAAGCACAACCTCCTGCTCAGTTTTGAAACCTGCTCCCAGTGAGGTCTCTAAGTATCTTCCTCACAACATGCTCTAGGGCATCTTCTCTGCTCTGTATAGCTACTTTGTGGGTAGCAAGGAACCCAATAACCAGTCTGCGTCCTGGGCATGGCTGCTCTCTTCTTACACTGCAGTTATTCTGGATTTCTCTAGAGCTTTCATTCCAGATTTAGTATGTTTCTGCATTCTTATCTTTCAGTAGCCCACATTCTGGGGATCACAAGGTTACTGTTAAGCTTTAAGAGACACAGGAGTAAAGACATATGGAGAAACTACTGATTTTACAGCCGCATAATTGCTACTAGAGGATTATATGGAGGAGGGTAGGTGGGAGAAAAAAGGGGCTGCTTACCCATACCCCAAAAGCACCTGCCACAGAGTAGTCGTGGTAGAGAAACTAAGGTGTTGCCCTCAAAGACTATGCTATTTCCAAGAGCAGCTTCAAAAGGAAACAGAAATAAGAGGGTGGGAATGGAGAAAAAGTGGTTAAGTGTATGCTTGTAAGGAAACTGGAAGGTGGTAAAAACAAAAAGGAAAAAGAAAAAGAAAACAACCCTAAAACCAGAGACTTAATCACCATGGTATCTTAAATGCAATCAACATGAGAAGTCCTTCCCTACATTAGACTATTGCCATATACAGACACTGTGACAATGAGGGAATCACTGCAATGCTTCAGAGTACATCAGTACATGTAAATGTTTCAGGTGACATTCCTAAGTGTTTCAGCACCATATCACAGAACTGCAAATTTTCCTTGATTGACCAGATTTGGCTGCATCCTTGTTTTATCCCTTTGCTTCATTAAATTAAAAAGGTCGCATCTTTTACAGAAAACCAAAATCTTTTCTCTCTTTAGAAACCTGAACAACTCTTTGTGCATGGCCTACATAAACCTAGCAAGAAAAAAATACACATATGGCACATTCTGTATTTACATGGGTATAAGGTGAGCAATTTCTGTGAGCCAGAAAACAGACCTGACTTTAGCTTGTGATGTGCTGCATTTAAGACCAAAATCTTGGCACAAACTTTCGTTACAGTGGCTTACAATTTGCAGCTTTCAGTTCCCAAGAGCTCTTGACTGGGTAAGAGCTTGCTTCTAATATGAGGCAACAATTCCTGTTAGTGCTCACTGCCTAAAGCAACTTGTGGTCCATACTGCACAAGACGGCCCAGGGTGGGCTGCAGCAGTGGGCAAGGGCTTGGAGAAGTTGAGTGACAAGGCATTCAATGACTTGCAAAGCAACAAAGGACAGAAAGAAGAAAATAGAGAAGCAAAACACCAGAATGTGTTGTACTCCCATTAACACGGGGAAAGAAACCCTACAACTTACATAATCACCTTATAGTAGGTAAAATGCAAGTGCGTGAATATACATCTGTATTTATGTATATATATACATATGCATGTGCTAGAGTCAGTCATATGAGTTTCTATTTTGTAGCCGGTTACAGGAAAAGAATGTGATCATCCAGATGAAAAGATCACAAGAAAAAAATTACAGAATTTGAGGCACTGTGAAGCACCATCGAGACTAAATTTAAGATTCAAACATGTACATTTTGGGAACAAAAATGTAATTTTTATTTATATTCCAAAATGTAATTTGAGGGGATCCATTTTTTTTCCCTGCAGTCTAGTACTGGTTCTTTTCATAACAGAATGCATTAGGGCTTTTAAAATCAAATTGAACTATTCAATTATCTTAATTCTTAATCCTATTTCATAACAAAAGAACATTGATGCTACAGTAGAAGTATTTACAGTGTTTCTACAGACATGTTACTGCATTTAAAATCAGCAATTTTGTGTGCACATCTACATTCTGCATAAGCAAAATTACAACAGAGATGGTAAACAGAGGTAACCTACTCCAGGTGATACTCACCTATGTAACATTTAATTCCAGGTGTCAGGGCAATGAAATCTTTAAATGTGCATTCAAAATACAAATGAACGAGACTAAAATGTTCCAAGATGTCTATGCCCCTAATTCCCCAAAACCACACTATAGCAAAAAACACTGCTAACAAGATCCTCATTAAATATTACTATCACTGCAATTTACAGTACTTTCTTACAAGCAAAATGCTTACAAGTTTATGTAATTTAACAATCTATAAAAAAGTATTCTTAAAGCGTACTTGAAAAACAAGGCAGTAATGTAATGATAGGATTTAAGCAGAACTTAAAAGAACCATGACCTTCATCCCTTACTTTTATTTATGTCTGAGCACACACCCCATATCATTATCAAACAAATATTTTGATTTTTTTTTACAGGCAAAAAATTGACATAATAAACTAAGGATTACCTGCATCATCTGGTGTCCATGGATTACGTGTTGGCTTTTCAGAGGTTGGTCCCGAGGTAGTGATCATTCTCACACTAGGACTAGATGATCTACTGCTGTTTCTACTCTCCTGAAATGACAAAATAAAACAAAATGACAAGTTAACAGAAGATTTTTGAGAAGTTTAGTAAAAAGAAAAAAATTTGAAGAAATCTGAACTTATAATCCTCCAAAATACTCTTCCTCCCCAAGCTTTTACCCTGAATGTTCTCCTGATGGTTTGGTCAACTGTACATGCATTGCAAAGATAATTTCATCTCCATTTCTTCTTTACTGTGTAAAAGAAGTTGATATAATTTTGCTGATCGGCATAACAAAAAGCAATGCTGAACAATTTGTGCAAGATCTTTTTAGAAGAGCATTACAGTATGTCTAGTGATTTTGACACCATCATTCAGTGAAATCTAGCAGCTCCCTAACATAAAGAGGAAAATGAAGTTTATTTCCAACATTTAATCAATGAATGGAACTATATTATATTAAAGGAATACAGCTTAGTAGCTGCACTTGCATGTGTTAATCTACAGTTTTCTTCTGGTTCTTTTGTTAACTCAGAGGTTATGTGACTAATCTTCAGAAAACATGAAAAAAGAGCTTATTCAAAAAGGATCAGTCAATTGAAACACCTCAATCAGAAAATGAGTACATTCTCCCTCATGAAGCAAATTAAGAACTAAACCAAAATTCTGAAGGATGTTTTTTCATGCATTTTTACATGTTTGACTCCTCCAATAATCCTTTTGTTTACCAATGCACAAAAACATAATACAGACTTCACTGTTCTACTAAGCTGCTTTTTCAGAAATGTTATTTACAATATATATGTTTCTATTTCACATATCCCCCCGGTGACATTAAATTAACACAGTAAAGGATTTAAGACTATAAACCCCAGCAAGTCTCTCAGAAAAAAACTGAAATAAAAAGAAAAGATGCTATTAAAATACAACTATTTTCAGGATGGTGTATTAGCATGAAATGATTCATTACTCAATTTTTCAAAATGAGCACTCAAATATACATTACCTAGGAATTACATTTCTTTATGACTTTATTTCCAAATATCCTACTTTAAATTTCAAAATTCAGGATTCAAGCAAAGTAACAATCCAAAGAATAATAAGATTCTACACACTGAAACATCCATTATCTCAAATGCATAGTCTTTCTTCTGTGACTTTTATTAACATTTCATGTTTTATGTTAATATCTAGAAACAAGGACAATCAACTAGAAATAATCTGATGGGTATGTTCAAGATGATGGCAGCAGACATTTTGAAAAATCTTTTGTGTTGGAGTTTTTGTTGACATTAAGAAAGGTTTATGTTGTTGAGCTTACTGTTAGTGTCCTCAGATATGAATGATAAACACACCATGCTGATGTAAAAGATCAGAAGATAGAGAAAGCACTTGTAACAGCAGAAAAGTCCTTTATCCAAAAAGGGATTTGTTGAGTATCTATAGTAGATAGTGAGGGGCACCTGAGAAATACTCTAATTACAGTAAGTTCTCAGTGCTTTACCAGATTGTTTTGGTTCACCAACCAAAAAAACATTTCCTTGATATTATTTACATGAAATTCAGCAGATACAGAAATTAAGGAATCACATCTGAAGCATATCTAAAAAGCACTACGAAGTTGAAAGGAAGTTTCCCAAACTGAACACTGGTTAGATTACTATGTTTGAGTGTGTGTTGAGTGAGATGTTTTAGGCCACCTGGATGGCAGCCCTCTGACAGTCCAGACAACGTCTGGACTTTAGCCATCAGTTTCTGCTACCCCTTCATCCTTGCTTCCTCTGGACTTGCTAGCAGTTTACTCTCAAATCATCTTTGCCAGGTGGTGAAACCCACATGGCATTCTTAGCTTCCATTTCTCAAAGACTTACGGTCTGGAAGAGCTGACATGCACTGAGGAATAATCCTCTCTGAAGTCTAATTTAAATAGGCAACAGAATTTAAAGAAATCATCATTACTAGTCCTGTTTCCTCATCTTATCTGTGAAATTTATCTTGCTGTGAAAGGAGAGGAAAAAACCCAAATGTGCATCTGTAACAAATTTCACAATCTCATGGACATAGTGATTCATCTTTGTAATATCAGATACCCATATTATCCCAGTTAGATTGCATGCATGTGGGCATCTACATTCTGACCTTGCTTCTCAACTGGTCGTGTCAGTACATGGTTTTCTTTAATATAGTGATTTTTTTCACTTCAAAGTGAACTATAAGAGTTTTGAAAGCCCAGCAACAGTTATGACACCTCCTCTCCCCCAAAACCAACAATCCCAAAATAAAACAAAAAAGTGTTTAAAAGAGGAAGTAGGTAGTTTTGGTATTTATGACAGTACTGTGAAAGATGAATACAAAACAACTAAACCAATAAAAGATACACAGGCAAGGAGACAGATACCACAATGGGCATCAGATCAGGTTATGACCTGTAGATCTTGAGTCATTATGCTAGATATATTTCTCAGTATCTGTGTAAAATGTTAAATTTTGTAAAGACTGCATGCAGAATAAATAACAATTTGCTGTGTTCCTTCAAATCCCCAAAAATATTAGTAATTGCAGTTCAGAGACTGCACATCTGTTTCTATGTTACAAAGGTGTTTAGCCAAGAGCAATAGCACTAGACAGATGACATACTAAAATGTTTTAAAGTGCAAGTACAGGGACATAGGCAGAAGAAACAATTGAAACAATTCAGTTCCAAAAAAAAAAAAAAAAAAAAAGGCGTAATTAGCAGATCATCACATTATATGGACAGAAACAAATGAAAATGTAGCATATGACTTTAGAAGGGACAGCTACATCAGTGCTGCTCATGTCACTTTGAGTAAGAAGCAGTCTAAGGTCACCAAGTGCTAAAATCTGTGAAAATTCAGACCTAAACATGTGTTCTCAACACCTAATCACTCTAACAGCTGATCCAAAGATGGAAAATCTTTGACCTAGCAAATTTTCCTATCTAAACTGTTGATGCTGAGTAGTAAACTCTTTGCGAAGCACTATTACTGACTGTTACTGAGAAAGCCAGTAAGAGCAACACTGTAAAGTGCCTTAAGAGTCTCAACAACATAAACACAGTAATGGTCAGGCATACAAACTACACAAAAAATTATTCTTAAAGCACACAGACATGAAATAGACACACAATTGTAAAACATACAAGATGGTCAAATGAAAACAAACAGGTGCACAGGACCAAGAGTCTTGGTCTACCCCTTTCAGGTAAGCACCCAAACTTTGGTATATGCATTATTAAATATTTATTGTATATATATATATGTATATATAATTGCATATTAATTAATATTATAGATCCATATATTTGAATATTTATATACAAGCCTGGTGTTTTCCTTCACTTTACGAAAAATTCCATTCTGAATTGGAAAAACTTTTCTAATTAAAAACAGTAGTTGTAACAGAAACACAGCAGCAATTTTCAGGAAAAATACATTAAATAAAAATATTTCTGATCAGCTTTACTGTGTCAAATAATAAAAAGCCAGAAAAGAGGCACAATCCTACAATTCTGAGTGGGATAGGGCCTTTCACAGCCTGGGTGAGGGAGCAGAGGCATGCGGGGCCATGGCTGCCTGGTGAAGAAGGCTGTGCTGCAGAGTGGGTGTAAGGGAGAATGGAATGCAGGGAAGAAGGATGTTTGCAATGAAGGGAGGGAGGGGGGAAGGGGATTTTCACATTACCAAGGATACCCTATATATGGTATGGTGCATATGGGGAGATTGGATAAACTGACCACAGCTATGCCACTCAGACGATTTTTTCTGCTTTGGCTTGTAGAATGCATATATGGATAATAGTTCAAAATTTTTGCTAAAAAGTCAAGGCATTCAGATCCAGACCTAGAGAAACCCATAATTACTAGTCTGAAGTCTTTAGCCATAATTACATTGTGCTCTGTTTGTTCACTGTTTTCCATTTTTTTTAATATGCACGCATGTGTACATCAAAAGTTAGCATTAGTTTCAGCAGATTTTCCTGTCTCTCCTCACATCAAAAAAGGGATAAAAATTTCTTATTTGTTTATATGGAAAGTCAAAAATGTCTTTCAAACTGCATTTTTCATGCATGTGAAAATGTTACATTTTTCAGATTTTACCATAATGTTTCCAAAGAAACTGCAGGATAGCAACAGATAATTGTGATTCTTCCACTTACATTTCCAATATGTACACTTATCAGAAGCAAGAAAGAAAAATGTGACTGGTACTTCTATAGAGCCAAAGGAGTAATTGGTGAGGTAAACATACAAGAAAATTTCTGTATCCTTCTGTTAATAAGGACAATTTAGCTAGAACACCCATACAAGCAATAGAATAGCTTTCAAAGGATTATTATAATACCTATTAAGATATGAAGCAAATTATGAAAATCTGAAATATCAACCATTCATTAAAATTAAGAGAATGAAAACTTTTAAATAACAAAGCTATAATTAAGTATATTCATACATCAATCAGCACAATTTGGTGTAATTGATGTACTGTCACTTAAATTTTCTCCCAAGTCTTGCATAATTTTAATTTTACAATTAAATTAATAGGCTAAATTAGTTCCTAAAATTTACAGATTACTAACACACCTGTCTTCTCTGAAGATATTAAAATGTATTACGTAGACTTGTTATTTTCTAGTAGATGTACACAGTAAATTTACTAATACCTACAGGAATGATGAGGTTTCAGTGGCTATCATACTCCATGTAATTAAAGAAAAATCAAAGGTTATCTCCCTAATAATTATACCTCTAAGAATTACCACCTATTTTAGATTATTGGAGTAGGCTGTTTATTAAGGAAACCTGATTAACCCGCTGAATATGCTAAGCACAAGTATCTCACACACAAATAATAGTAAGGATTTCAAAATTGCCAATTCACACTAAGGGCCAAATAGTCTCTGAATTACTGAAGCAATTAAAAACACAAAAT